AGTTTTTGGGTTTTAGGCTAACATGCAGGGGAATTGAGGCCAACCTGGACAAATGTAGGGCCATACTGGAAATGCAGAGCCCACAAAACCTGAAAGAGGTACAACGTCTAGTTGGCCGAATGACAACGTTATCACGCTTCATTCCGAAGTTGGCCGAACACATCAGGCCTATCTTGAAGAACATGAAGAAAGGCACCACCCGACATTGGGACGATAAGTGCGAAAAAGCCTTCGGTGCTGTTAAAAACATTCTCACCAGCCCTCCAATCATGGCACGATCGGTAGCAGGATTCGACTTGCAGTTGTACATCGCAGCATCCCATCATGCTGTAAGTGTCGATTTGGTATAGGAGACCCCCATCCTTAAGTTGATATATTTTGTTAGCAGAACGTTACAGGAGGCGGAGGAGCGGTATTCCCAAATCGAAAAGGTAGCATTGGCCCTACTCACGACATCACGTCGACTTCGACCATATTTCTAGAGCCATCAAGTGATCGTCCGAACTAACCACCCAGTCGCCAAGATCCTCAGAAAACCAGAGCTGGTAGGAAGGATGGTCTCATGGTTAGTAGAACTTTCTGAGTTCGGACTACGTTTTGAACCTTGAAGGTCCATCAAAGGACAACACCTGGTAGACTTTGCTGCCGAACTAACAGCCATACCTGATAGCTTAGAGCCAATATGGCTCCTTAACGTGGACGGATCCTCGAACAAAAGAGGAGGGGGAACTGGTATTGTGCTAGAAGGACCAAATGGCCTAATCATCGAGCAAGCCATCACATTCCGATTTCAAGCCAACAACAACCAAGCAGAATATGAAGCCTTGATTGCTGGTTTAATCCTAGCCAAAGAATTGACAGTCGCTCGATTAGAATGCAAGATGGATTCGCAATTGGTGGTCGGTCATATGAACGGAACCTACCAGGTTAAAGACAATCAATTACTACGCTACTTTCACAAAGCAAACACCCTCCTCAAAGACTTTGTCGATGTCAGCATCATTCATGTGCCTAGGGAACAAAATGGAAGAGTAGATCTCCTATCCAAGTTAACTCACTCAAGAGAGAAAATACAATTATCTTCCGTCATCAAGATGACACTTGACCACCCAGTCGTGGAAACTTTTGCCACCAATGTCTCAACACACGAAGCTGATTGGAGACAAAGCATACAGGACTTGATGATGAAGCAGGAGCGAGGAGAAAAAATCACAGCAAGCGACTTAAAACGCATCGCTCGTTTTCTACACATAGGTGACGACCTATACAGGCATGGCCACACCACACCCTTATTAAAGTGTATATCGGTAGACGAAGCAGATTACGTTCTGCGTGAACTCCATACCGGGATCTACGGTTTTCACTCAGGAAAACGCACGCTCAGAGCGCGTGTACTACGCGCAGGATATTACTGGCCAACGATCGACCAAGATTGTGAGAAATTCGTCAAGAAATGTCTCTCATGTCAAGCGCATGGTCATTATTTTCGCGTCCCTCCTGAAGAATTGCACGGCATCATCTCCCCATGGCCGTTCGCCTAATGGGGAATAAACATAGTTGGACCGTTACCGATCGCAAAAGCTCAGAACAAATTTCTCCTGGTGGCGGTCGACTACTTCACTAAATGGATAGAAGCCAAACCACTATCCATAATCAGCGCCCAACGAGTACAGAAATTCATCTGGCACCTAATATGCCGGTTCGGTCTGCCACAAAAAATCATCACGGACAACGGCAGGCAATTCATTGAAAAAATGTTAGAAGATTTCCTCAAAAAACCTGGGGATTAAGCATGTGACCAGCTCAGTAGAACATCCACACACTAATGGACAAGCAGAAGCCGCAAACAAAGCTCTGCTCACAGATAATTGAAAAAATACTCGGCGAGGCTAAAGGTTTATGGGTGGAGGAACTACTAGAAGTACTATGGGCGTACAAATGCATCCCACATGGATCCACAGGGGACACTCCATTTAATTTGACATACGGCACAGACGCCATGCTTCCAGTCGAGGTCGGGGAGTCATCACTTAGACGTAGCATCACCGACACGACCCTTAACGATGAACAGCTACAAATGAACCACGACACGCTACCTGAGCGACGAGAAGTCGCCACAGTTCGTGCAGCAGCTCAAAAAAGAATGTTTTCCCGCAGATACAACACTAAAGTCAAGCCTAGAGCTTTCAAAAATGGTGATCTTGTATGGCGGAAACGAGGAGAAGCAAGAAAAAATCGAGCGCATGGAAAACTCGCAGCCAATTGGGAAGGATCGTTCTGCATAGCAGAGGACTTGATGAATGGGGCATATCACCTCAAACTTCTCAATGGGCAAACCATCCCCAACACTTGGAACGCCACTCACCTTAAACATTATTTCAGTTGAAATTTATCATTTCCATGTTTATGAAACATTATTTCTCTACCTACAATAATGAATGTTTTTTCATTCCTCATCTACTTTATTCTCAACAAACAGACCAACAGGTCCCTCCTATGACACCACATAATCACACACAAGTTTCAAGTCCCAGGGACAAACGCTAGGAAGCCGATCGACCTGGTAGATGTTCGCCCTAGAACACCCAGATCATGGCGCATAGGGATACACTCCCTCTGGTAGATGTTCTTCCTTGAACACCCTTGTGCATTAATCAAAAGGACACACTCCCACTGGTAGATGTTCGCCCTATAACACCTAGAACATTCAATCTACAAGATCATCCACAGCTCTAGATTAAATTCCCTTAGAACGTCTACCATTCACGAAATATTAATAACAAACAACAACGAATACTCAAGTCATGCGCGACAAAGGCGTTTGTCAAACGTCAAATTAACCAAATCCTACGCTTATGAAGTTTGTTCCTAACAAACAAATAAGTACAAAGAGCTCATGGCCACGCCAACACATTACAGCCTAATCTATTACAACATCTGGTGATCCAACAACAGACCCTCCGGTAGCTTCGGCATTAGGTCCCTCAGCAGCAGCTACTCCAACATCAACACCTTCTTCAGGTTCCATGAAAGCATCATTCAGGATCTCAGCTAAAGGTACCAATTGACCTTCGTATACATCCTTTCTCAGATCAAATTCCACTCCCTCAATGGACACTAGAAGAAGATGCGCGACCTGCCTCAGAGCCTTCTTGAACCCTCTAGGGTGTTCCACAACTATTGCTTCGCTCATTTCCTCTCTTATTTCTTTCTCCTCGGCAACAGCAAGGAGTAGGCCATCCCTATCTTTAGTTAAAGCAGCCACGGTTTTGGTTGACTGCTCTGACTCAGTCGCCAACTGGTCTCGTTCTCTCTGCAACTGATCCCGTTCTCTTTTCATCGCAAATCCGGCTGTCTAAACATTATTCAACAGCGCTTGAGCCTCACTCAATAACTGCTCAAATTGTTTTTGCCTCTGTTCACAGTTAGAGTGGATGTCCGCCAGTTCCTTTAGCTGGGTCTGCGCCTTTTGCGACCCTCAAAATGCCCCTATCGGATGCGTACGCCATGTGCCAAGCGGCCATAGCTGCTCGACTTGCAAGTTCCAGCATCGCATCGGCCATTTGTTGTTCAGTCATGCTTTCCACAACCTTCTTCTCATAGTCGTCCAAGTTAAAATCAATCTTATGGCTAAGATTGAAAGATGGATCCCACACGCCATTAGGAAGAGGGCGATTCGTCACCTCGTCAACATCCTTCATTCTCTTTGGAGCAGCGCCCATTTTGTTGATAGCCTTACCCCTCTGTTTCCTTATGAGTGGCTGCTCCTCAATGATCGCCACTTCATCGGGGGAGGACGACCGCACATTTGGAGGAAGTTGAGTGGTCCCTGAAGATTGGCCTGGACGCCCGCTGCCCGCTTTACCACTATCAATGGCTTTGAACCAATTACGGACTGGTCCCTTTTTCCCCATGATCTCTGCAAATACAGGTTCATCCCACACAGTCAACAATAATCAAATAATATACAAAAACACCAATAAGAGAAACATACCGAACACCCTTGAGTTGAAGTCATCGTGTTCAAGGCATTTTATGAGTCGACGGGAAGAAAAGGGGCGAGACAGTGCCGTCAACACACTCAAAGCTTCCAGTTCTCCAACAGTCATCTTATCCTCAGGGCATGAGGTAAATTTTAGTGGATTTTGCGTCCAATACAGGAGAAATTTCGGGATCCCATCTTCATGAAAAAAGAATGCCCGCCCTGAATCGAGAATCGACACTCTAAAGAATTTATCTTTAAAACCCCTGTACGACTGCGAGTACAGTTCCAGGAGGGCGTCACCAGGCTCAGATATTAACGACACCCAACCCCTTTTGGCAACAGGACGATATCTAAAGAAATGCAGAAACAATGGCATAGTAGGCCTAATGGCCAAGGCCTGACACATAACAGCAAATGCCTGAATATATCCCCAGCTATTGGGATGTAGTTGGGTGGGAGCAACATTTAGGGTTTTTAATACCTTCATCTGAAAAACACTCAGAGGCAACCTAATGTACATATCATAGAATAACGAAGAATAGAAGTAGAAAAAGTCTTGGGCGACACTCTCTCTTCCATGAAAAACCCGTTCATTTTCACGGCAAGCCACCAACTTTATACAGGATTTGTAACCTAGGGTTCTCAGAATACAACTATTATCTACCCAGTCTTCCAACACTACTCTATTTTTAAACAAGCTACAAAAATCACTTACGTCCCGTGAAGCCCAATCATAATCGTTGTCTCCAGACGATGAGGAAGCTAGATCTTCTGGGTTTTCAGCTAGTACATTCCCATATACAAACGCACTCTCACCACCAACAATGGAGGCGATTTCGTGGCACCTTCCCGCCGACGACACTTCCGGCACTTCAACACCTTCATTCAACCCCTTTTCTTCCATCGTCAACGATAAACAAATTAGCACAGGGAAAGGATTCAGGTTTACCTGATAAATTCATAAACGAGAAAAGTAAAGTTGAAGCGAGGCAAGAGAACCGTCACCAAAGCAGAAATGGTGATGTTGCAACCACAATTTCTTATGCCTTTTCACATTGTCTTTCACATTAATGAAGGGAAAACTGACAGTGGAACGCCACACGCCGTAGGATTAGCACAATCCAACGGCTCCGTTTTCACGCCTTTACAAATACCTTCGAGAGCGGGAAATCGTAGAACGTCTCAACAAAATGGTGCGTAGCAATTACCCTACTCAACGAGCGTACCCTCAACGTCCTATACTTAACTCGCACGCTTAAACCGTGTTGGTTAACTCGGACTCGGGGGGGGGGGGATTATGTATGGTAGAATATCTGAAGTCGAGCGGTTGTCAACAATAAACCAAACGACTGACTGACCGATCGCCTTTATCCGGACGACTAGCAATAATAAATAGGCCAGGTATTAACGAATAGTCAAACGATCACTTCCGAACGATCGTCAACCTCCTAGACAAAACGATCGCGATATCGTAAAAGATAATGCCAGCGAGACAATCGTCATGCCATACGCTCGTCAATGTCGCCCCTAGTATCGATCGTCTTAATAGCGATCGTCCGTTACTTAAACCAAACAACCAGCATGGGTCAAATTAACCCAGTCAAGCTAAGAGTCAACAAACGTTCGGTCAGCTTTATTCAGACTGGGTCAATTAACCCGGATAAACTAAGAAAGAAGCGGTTACAAATGTCTAACCATGAAAGCGCAAGTTACAGAACTAACCAACCAAGTATCAAAGACGAGGATCACGATCAGGTGACTGAATTATCCAACTAACCAGATTTTTAGGTAAACGGTTCATCTTACTTTTAGGTTAAATACGAGAAACCTAAAGGAAAGAGGTACGTTTTGATAATTGAAAAAAGAGAGAGAAAATATTAATTTGATTATTGAACCAAAAGGTTTGGTCATTCCTTTTTCTGATTTGAGCGTCGGAGTGCCTTCGCAGGTACCCACTCCATTCTCCCCGAAGAGTCCTGTGCAACTGGAAGATATAAGGATAACTGCATTGTGAGAAGGTGAAGACGTCATTGATCAGGTTCGCGTCTCAGTCCCAACAATTATACCGAAAGACTATGTGTTCCTAACTGTCATACATTTATTGTATTATCTTTTGCTGATAAAAATAATATATGGAATGTGATTCTAATTTTCGTTTAACCTAAGTTAATTTCTTTATATCCACCGCCATCATGCTTTTACATCTAAGCCAATATAGAGATGAACACACTTTTTTTTTTATCAGTATACACTGTAAAGCAATCCTTTCATGCATATTTCTGTTATATTCGATGCCAACGAACTTTATATATTGGTAAGAATATGATGCTGATACATTAAGCTAATGAAGAATCTGAATCTTAATATTTAAAAATGCGTGTTATGATCGTTTTCTAAGTAAGAAAATTTCTGTAAATTATTATAACTCTGTGATGCACCGGATAATTACTGTAAATAAAATTAGGGTTACATATTTCATAGTCAAAAGCTAATTAGGATGTGGGATATGACTCTAACTGTGTATGGTCTTACATATTTGATAGTGAAAGGCTAAGTTCAGATGTATTGTAATTTTGGTTTAACCTAAATTAATCTCTCTACCTATCCATCTAAGCCACCATGCTTTTACATTTAAGCAATATAGGAAAAAGGGATCAACACATTAATAAAATAAATGAATAAAGCAATCCCTTCATACATATTTCTGCTATATTAAACTAATTAGGAATAACACTGTTTCAGAACTACATTGGTTGAGAGAATTCAATTCAAATTGGCATGCAGTAGCAGTAAAGATTAGCAACAACATATGCCAGTCAGTGATGGATAATGTAAAAATAATTAAGATTCTACACAATCAAAGAGAGAAAAATAAGTCCGACATGAACATTATTAAAAGTTATTCCGCATTTTTTCTCTAGTGGAAACATATATTCCCGGATGAGTGGAGTATGTTGCTCATATTATAAGTGATTTTGAAAGTGGGATGTGTTCCAAAAATTTGAATATATTGACAGACTTTTTTTTATTAGTTCACTGGTTAACAGTTGTTTATTCTTTTAACATTATAAATTTAAAATAACCTTTTCCTACATAATTTTACATAATTCTATTGATTGTTATATGAATTTGAATAGTGTTATATATATAAAAAATATATGTAAAAACCAGTGTTACAAATAAAATTTATGACAGTTAAAATTTCATATGTTAAAAACATTTTATGATAAGAATATTTCAACTGCTAATATTTTTATTAGAAAAAGAAAAAAAATTCTAACATATTGTTATTATTTTTTTAAAAAGTAATTAACTATTTTTATAGTATAAGTTCATCAATTAAAACAATATATGTATATTTTTATTAAGTGTTCTCTAAAACTTAAGTTTATTTTATATTAATTATTTAAATATGAATAATGAAAATAGGAGGTGTTACAACTTCTCTCTCCTAATTTTTTATTTTTAACCTTTTTACAATTTCTAAAATTTTAATATACATGTTCTTTTTATTTTAAATAATTTTTAATAATTTAATTAATTGGATTTAAAATTTATAATACTTTTATTATTTTTATATAATTATATATTTCTTAATTATATTATTTTATTATATATTTTTCAAATTTTTTATAATCTTTTATATCTTAAGATATATTTTAATATTTAAAATTTTGTTATTACATTTTATTATTAATATATATATATATATATATATATACACATATTAAATACCATGTATAAATTTAATAATTTATTTGTTTAAAAATTAAGAAATATTAAAATATAAAGTTAAGAAAAATAAATAGTAAAAATGTTAAACTTTTAATTTTAATTTGTGAATTAAGTTATAAAAAAAATTACTCAAATAAAAAAATATACAAAAATTTAAAATTCATTTTTGTCAAATTATTAAAAAAATTAAGATATAAAATATTATCAAAAAATTTAAATTATCAAATAAATATCTATTGAAATCATATTCTCTTTATATGAGGTTATTTAAATATTATTCGAGACTTCATCCCTCACACAAAAGTTGTTATTTGCATGGCTTTAGTTTTGAAAAATAAAAATGGTCTAATGATAACGGTTTATTTATAATAAAGTTGTACTTATTTCACATTACTTGACCTGTAATTTTTTTATATTTTAAAGTAATCTGATGGGTAATTTTCAAAGGAAAATAATTCCGTTAATTTGCGTAGCATATTGCCTAGCTCTATCCTTTTCAAATTTGAATCGAATTTTTTCCTTCTGAAGCTACAAAGTGGTCATTGCGGAGCTTGTAAACCATTGAATTTTTTGTGGTTGTCAATTTGTGATTGAATAGATGCTAAATTCTATCTTCCAATTTGGGTGTGAACCATCGAATTTACACAAATTATTTTTATATGCATCTGATTCACCGTTCTGTACAAACTATATACACAAGTTCAGCATTTCCTCAAGAGTATGCTCTTGTTTAAACTAAAATACCATTAAATTTTAAGTTATCCTCATTAAAATTTAGGTTTAATCCTTTTCGACATCCCTATTTGTGTAGGAATGTCTCATATAGGTCCTCGTTTTCTAAAGTGTATCAAAATGGTCCTTAATTTTGAAAATTGAGATCAATTCAGACCTTTCCGTTAAGTTGGCTGGACGGCGTTAAAGAAATTGATGCGTGGTTATTGATATGACTGACGTGGCACAGTGTTGTTGTTGACCTGGCGTCTCCTTACCATCTTCTCCCTAGCGTCGTCGGCAACATCACCGCCGCACAACCCCGGACCACCGCAAACAACATCGTGCCACCGCACCGCCAGCCACAAGTCATCATCACCGTGCCACCATTCATTTTCCCAATCATCATCTCAGACCTGCATATCCAAAAACCCAATCCGATCTGAAAAATCCTTCGAACCCTAAACGCCGAAATCAAACTCCAAGCCAGAATCCCAATTCATTTCGCCACCATCTCCTTCATGTGAATTTCCGAATGGAGATGGCTCTCTTCTGTTTCTGGGTTTGTTTGCAGGTCTGATTGTGGTTACAGGTGGAGATGAACGAAGGAGAAGATGATTTTTGCGCCATGGCTTTCGAACAGCTGCGCGATTTTGATTTTCTCTGTGATTGGGTTTCTGCGTGTTTTCTCTGACAGGTGCGAGGGTGATGAAGGTTAGTGGTTGCGATCATGGCAGCGTCTTCACGGCGGTTTAGTGGCGCTAAGGTTTGGCGAAGCAGCTGCGAGATGCGAAAAAAAAAGGCGCGATTCGGAGAGGCTTGCATCTCTGGTTTGGGGGAGGTTGCGGCGAAGCTTGCGAGGAAGGAGATCGAATCACGCTTGGTGGCGTAGGACGAAGGAATCGCGATTCTGGTGGCTGATACGATTCACGTTTCTGCTATGGTGGATAGCGGCGATTTGAAGGTTGACGGTGGTGGCTTCAAGGTGGCTGACGGCTAGGGTTTCTGGGTTTCCTCCTTTCCCCTATCTGAAACCCTAATTTTGGGTGAGAAAGGGGTTGACATGTGGCAGGTCTTCACTGGTCACGTTATGAATCAGTCAACAAGACTCTTTTGATGCCATGCCACCTCGTAATTAAAAGACACCTCAGCATCCCACTCATCAATTTTTTTAACGCCGTCCAACCAACTTAACGGGAAGGACTCAATTGATCTCAATTTTCAAAATTAAGGACCATTTTGATACACTTTACAAAACGAGGACCTATCTGAGACATTCCTACACAAATAGGGATGTCGAAAAGGATTAAACCTAAAATTTACCAAGAATGTTCTGGTTGTTAGGAAATTCTCATACATTTTAAACTGAATTATTGATTTAAAAGAAGTTTTAAAATTATTTTAATAATTTAAGGATACGAAACACTATTTATATCAGAAAATCAGAAAATCCAATGTTGTCTGAATTTCCCTTGTGGTAAAGATTTTACTATCAAAAAAGTTCTTTTCACAAGCTAATGGACTTTGAATAAAAGACCTTAGTATTAAGAACCTCGTTGTTATAAATTATATATGAATATTTGTAATAGTATCTTATATATTTTTTATTTAACTGTTTTATATTATTGAAAATGTGACAAATTCAATAATAATAAAATACTATTAAAATTAAGATATTACACTAAGTAATTATGATTTATTTATGATAAAAAATCTGTAAATAACTCAGACAACATTATTTAGAGACTTGTTATCTATATGAATCTTACTTACCAAACAAAACCAGATCAGTAAGTGATTACATACCAAACTTATTCAAAAATTTACCTACTAATTTAATATATAGATAATTACAGGCGTGTTTTTTCGACGGCTTTTTACCCACGGCCTAGGAGTCCTCAGTAATGCAATGGTTAATTCAATTACCGATGGTTTAAAGGCCTTCGATAATGTTTTCAAAGAATTTTAAGTTGTTCTTTCTCTGTAATTCATTTTCCCACCAGTCCTAATCTTCGTCCTATTCTTCGTTGCCCAAAACCCTTCCCTCCAACCCTTCCCCTTTGCTCCTCCAACGATACCAAAGCCCTAATCTTCCTCTCCTCTGCCCAAATTTCAAAAATTACCCCTCTCCTTTGCCCAACTTTCAGAAACTCCTCCAGCGATACCAAAGCCCTAGTCCATTTTTGGTCACCCTAAGGCGTTCTCCCGCGGAGCTGTGGTCGTTGGTGGTGTGGTTTTTCCGACAGGGTGGTGGGTCGTGCTAGTTGGCGTTTTGCAGCAGTGGTGGTGGATCATCGAGGTTGGCTTGACGGCAGCATTGGGGTGATGTGGGCTTGTTAAGTTCGTGGTCGTGGTTTGCAAAGGCTGGCATCTTCGTCCATTTTGCTTTCGAGGTAAGTTTTTTCTCAAAATTGAATTTTTGTCGAGAAGAAATTGTACTTGAATGATGCTTTCTTTCTTCTTTTCGTGGTTGTGGTCATGTTGTTTTGTCTCTCTCATTGTGTGTGTGGTAGAAATTGTGTTCTTTTTGTGTGGCCTTAGAGTTTCTGAAGGTGTTAACATTCATTGGATATTGGTCGTTGAGGATATTTGAATGAATAAATTCTTGGATGCTTAACTGGAAATTGCGATTAAATTCAATTGCTTCCTTCTTTAGACACCACTAGTGTGAGTAACTAACTATTATAGGTGTTGGTTAGTACTAATATTTTCATTATGAGCTTAGTTTCCTGCATACAATTTGTGGTTCTGTTCACACACTATTTTTATGAATTGTGTCATCTTTGAAACAGTATATTGCATTATTCATTGTTTATTGTATGCTAAGAGCTTTTATTGCTCTGTGTATAATGTTAGTATTGACTTCAATAACTGGAAAATTGCCATATTGAAAAAGGAATAGAATGATGTCATTGATATTTCAAAATTAATATCACAGGTATTTCTAGCATAGTGCAACACTATATGTAAGGAAAAAATCACCACCATAATAGAAATTATATCCTAATAATCAGGTCTAGCTTCCTGGACAGACTCCTTTACAGATTCCTTTGATTCAAGGGATTTCAAACCTAATACACTAAAATGATTTACATCTAATTTACAATATCCACATTTTAGTTTGGTAATTGGATCATTGAAACTGGAGCCTTTTAGCCCCTGTGCTGGACATGAGCTATATTGCTCTCTGATATGGAAAACACACTAAGTTTTCTTATAGCTGTTCTCCATGATGACGTGTAAATGATTTATCTATTCATCCATGCTTTGTCCTATACTCTTATCATGCTTGTAGGACTGAGTTTTATTAATCGCCAACTTCTGGTTATAATAGAGCTTAATGAGACATACTACTGGCTTCCAAGTTCCAAGTCATCTAGGATAACTCTTATCATAAATGCAAAAAATCCTTGAATAATATATTTGAATTTTTATTCTAGAGATGATCTACCTACTGTGTTGTGTTCTTACCTTTTCAATTAACTAATTTTCTTGTAGGAAAGTACAAATGTGAACATGATTTCTATCCACTAGTGAACCTGTATAAGTCTGCATTGGTGTGGATAATAATCGTGGGAGAACCACACCATAAAAAAGTTAGTTGTGTAGTTGGAAAGCTCAACAAGGTCTAGCTAACCCAACTTAAAATCCTTTACCTCGATTTTGGAGACTCAAGTCCTATACCAATTGGGTTCTAACATCCCATCATACTCCATTATGATCATGTTGGTTGTTATGCACTTTCCCTTTGACTACCTCGTGAGTAGGCAATACCTATTAGCTGTTTGTGTTGAAAAACATTTTCGACGCTCTTGTACTAATTAATAAGAACCTTGGTGAATCATTACCACAAAATCTAGCTATTGTAGTTGAAGAGCCAATGAATCCGACAGTCCATACTAGAATCCTTACTTCACGGAACTCCCTTACTTTGCAATTGGATCCTAACATCACTTTTTCACTATTCTTGAATACGACTATTTTTGGGGTTCCCTTGTGAAGTGCTTTAAAACTCTGTATGCTGCAGATATTGAATGAGTCTCTTTGCATTGAGCATGATTGACTAATGAGACTAACTGAATATGCTATATGCCTTGGCCATGTTTAAACAAGACCAGTCTTCCAGCCATCTTTGGTTCATTCTTTTGTCTACTACAGGTTTTACTTTAGCTTCTTATAGCTTATGCTTGAGATCAATGGAGTAGGGCTTGCTTGCATCCAATTTATCTTGTTTCCATCCATAAATCCGTTTCATTTTGTAAAAATACGAAGATCTCTTTGTTGGAGCGTGCCGCTTCAAATTTCTCAATTATTTCATCTAGAAATCCTGAATCAGTTTCTACATCAAATCTTCTTTTTCTTTTCATCATTCCCAACTACTGTGATGTCATCATTATATCCCTCTCTTTTTCATTCAATTGACCTCAAAAAACATAAGTACTTATGTCAATCATCTCTTATCAAATCTACTTCTCCACAATTATGTGATATCAAATATAATGAGTATCTTTTCTGTTTTATATTTGCTTCTGGATACATCCGACATTCTGCTTTTTATTTCCTTCTCAAACTACCAAATTACTTATTTCCAGCACAAAGTGATAAGGATCGACATCACAAATCATTGCAAAAAATCATATCCAATTATCCTATTTCGCAATGTTTTTTCTCTTTTTCCACTCCTCTACGTTCTAAGCAACCCCTTCCTTTCGCACTATACTACTCACATGCTTCATAATTATGTTTATCTTTTATAAAGTAATACAATTTAGATTGCTAGGATTCATTCCATCATAAGATTAAATTGATAATAATTATGAAAGCTAATTAAGTGTGTTGTGGGATGAGGATGAAAAAAATATATATTTTATCTTACTTTTTCTCTTATAAACTCTCCTTGTAGATTAAATCTGAATTGTTGATGAGGATAGGACAAAACAGAGTAATAAAATGAACTCCTATTAGCTAATCATATTAAACTACCTCATACTTCAAAAAAACTATTGCATGCTATCATATTAAATCAACATTCTTCTCACAACTTTTACTATTTCTCTTCATTAATTTTTAAGCTCCATGCATATGCTAGCGCTGATTAGCATTGATTCTGTTTCAATGATTTTTCAAACTTATGGTTTAAGAAGTTAAGCTATGTTTTTTATTTGCATATTCTGTAATTGAAAAGCCACCTTTGGACTTTGATGGGAGATATAATTAAAGTAGCATGATACTGGATCAACTAGTTGAATGTATCTTTAATGGTGGATAAATTTTATCCACATTGGATCTGTTGTGATAATTTGCGTGATTTTTTGTTTTTTGTTTTTGAATAGTGGAAGGAGGGATTGGAGTTGAAAGGGTTAGGTGCAGTTCCTGAGATCAGACCTTTTGAACAAAATATTATTAATTCTAGGAAAAGAGAGAAATTCTGAAACACTCTTCACACCAATCACGTTGTCCTTTCTAAGAAAGAAAATATAATTAGAGAGAAAATGATTATGAAAAAATACAAAGAGGGTAGTTCTTTTTTATTGTCAATGGTTTGATCCATCTAGGAATGGAACAAGAGTGGATCTTAGGTATAATATTGTAGAAATTCAAATGACTTCAAGATACCAACCATTTGATTCATTCATTCTAGCTCTTAATGTTAGACAAGTTTATTATGTCCCATATCCAGCATTTCGCAACATTGACAAACTTGGTTGGCGTGTTGCAATACAAAGCAAGCCTAGGGATCGCATTTAGTCAAATGATGTCGAAGACGATATCCCTTTCCAAGTTGATCAAATAACACATGGAAATGAAATTATTGAAGTTGAAGGTGTATATGCATTGCACGACTTCGATGGTGATGCTGAAGAGTTAGAAGGACAAAATACTAAGAACATGAAGAGAAGGAGAAGAAGAGGAGAAGAACAAGCCGACGAGAAAGAAGAACTTGAAGATGATAAAGAAGACGACGATGAAGATGATGATGATTATGATGATCACAGCGACGCATCAATCAACGATGACAATGACGATGATGAGGACGATTGAATTAATTAAATGCTTGTATTTTGACATGTGTATGATTTATTTTGACATATAAAATAAAATCATTTATTAAATACCAATTATATAAATGTACTATGCGTTTAATTGTCAGTTTATTTATATTCTTTAAATTGTAGTAATGTCACGACAGGATCCTTCACGCCCTAACAAGGGCAAGACGATAAAAAAGCCTAGGAGGCAGGTGATAACCTTTTGGCAAGTATACCAAATCGTTCCAAGTAATGTAGAGTAAGTTCAGAGTATCGTTCTCCCAAAGGACTTGTGCAACACATGACAATTCTTCTTTTTATAACTCAATTAGACATCAAAATGCACAAAACAACACAAGAAACTCTTTTTGGTATTTTATCAAACAGTTGGTGTGCAAGGAATTATATTTAAAAGACACTTTGTTGGAATTGGGTTTCATGAATCATATGAAGATAAAACTCTGTACAATATATCATTATTTCATTCAAACATTCATATCAAGGCATACTAGTCCTAATCCCTTATCAACTAGTCTAAATTTATATATCAAAGTGTTAATCTCTTAGTCAATTTAACATACAATTTGCATTAAGTTTGATGCTAAGAATGACCAAGTTATTGAGTCTATCCCTAGATCCCAAATCATTTAGGTGCTCTATCTATATCCATGTTCAAAGTTAATTTCCAGTAATCAGACACATTCAAATAACATTATATTTCCATGCAATGATAGTAAATTCAAGAAAGAGCATATGAACGAACAACAATATATTGAAAAGGAAAATTACATCAGAGTGAGTTCATTACATCCAATTCTAACGAAAGAAAAATTTAACTACTCCTAATAATCTATAACGTACACATTTGAAGCAATCCCTTGCAACAATGGTGTCTTGATGCCTTGAAGTAGTCTCCTGAAGTTCCTAAGATGTTTTCGTTTCTTTCCTCTGTCCGAAACTTCTGTCTAGAGTTCTTTCAGTCTATTTCCCACTTTAAAAGCCAAATGAAAAAATAACTAATTCGTTAAGCGCACAACTCTTTATGCGCTAAGCGAATATTCAACTGCAACATATCTTTAATTGTCCTTTATTCGCTCAACAAGTTGTGCGGGTGCGCTGAGCGAATAAAACTATATTTAGCTGAGCAAGAAACATCTGATAGCACTCAACTTTGATGTATAAATTCCTGTACAATTTACTACACACTTTCCTACTTCTAATTACAACTTTTCAAAGAGGAAAACACATTATTTCATGAATAAATACAAATTTTGAGTTAATTAATAAGTCTGAAAACATGTATTTTTCATACTTATCAGCAGGCCAAGTACATTATTAGAGTTCCTTCGACGATACCATTTGCAAGTGCCAGTACTCCACCAGAGGTTGGCTCCTCACGTCCACCACCCCCTTCTACGACGCCCACACCTTCTGTCGGGCCCACTCCTTTAGTTGTAGGCCCCACACTGGTTCCTCCTATGGAGCCCACACCATATATTCATCCCTCTTCTTCTATCTCCACGCCATCTTCTATACCATCTCCATATGTACACCAGTCATCTGTTGATCTTGTTGATCCTACTGATTTGGGTGATCCTACTCCTCATGATCGACTGTTCATTGAGCCAAGTGGAAAAGGGTAATACCATATCTTCTTCTTAGTCTTGTATTTTGCATTAAATTGTTGGTCTTATTATGGTTGTAGATTCATAATTTCTTACATTCATATTTCAGGTTTCTTCCTTCTAGAGTTGCTACACAAGCCATCACTAGGTCTATTAAGCAACAATTTCTTCAGCCTTGCGCATCATGGGGAGTAATCCCTACGGCGACAAAAAACTGTTCTAGGAGAGATTTAAGGTAAAACATTGTGTTACTTAATCATGTTACATCACCATATTCAAATAGGAATTTCATTTGCTTTATTTTAACATTATCTATTGTAACAGCAAAAGGTGCAGTGGGCAGCTGAGCATGAAGCTCAAATTAAGAAAAACTTTAACATGAAAGCATCTCACCGATTGTGAGAAATGTTTAGAGATGCAAGGATCGTAGGACAATGCCCTTATTGGGTAGGGGAGCACATATGGAATTCATTGCTGGCACATTGGAATTCGCCACAGTACCGCATTAAATGAGCTACCGCCCAAAAAAATAGGGCTTCAAAAAAGGTGGTGTACTACATACTGGAGCATCAATCACTACACATGAACATGCGATTCGTATGGTAAAAATCTGCATTCATTTCTTATCAATAACTCTATAACATCATGTACTTTGAAATTAATATATATGTCATTCGTATGTTTTATTTAAAATATTACAGGCAGTGGAGCTTGGACAAGCTGTTCATGTTGATGAGGTATTTACACAAACTCATATTCGCAAGGGGACTGGCAAATATGTTGATGAGAGGTCTCGCAAGACCATTGTAAGTAAACTTTTTAAAAACATTCAATTTTGTACTATTTTTTTTTCACACTTTCAAATTCATGTTATTAACGTTTTCTATCTTATTTAATAGGAAGATTTTTCTGCGTGATTGACACAAGCGAGATGCAGACGATGAAATGATCAGGACCCAATGTTGGGTTGAGGTCGTCGGAGGAATAAGAAACGATGATTGTATGAGGTAGGACAACTTTCCTCCCATTACAGTGTTGGAAGAGGAGGCATATTCAAACATCAACCATCTACCTCCGACACATTTGACCACAACAATGTCGTTAGTAAAGAGGCTTATGATTCACTTCTAGCCAGATTTGACAATTTTGAAAATCTGGTCAGGACTTTGATACCACAGCAAGGACAGTCTGCCCCATCATAATCCCAGTAGCCATGCCCACCTCAAAAGTCTTCCTAGACCACACTTGTGCAAGAAGAAGATCAAGATGATTCTGATGATTATGATGAATATTAAACATTTAGAAACTTTTGAAAACATTTGAAGGTAGGTTTTTTATTTAAAAACTTTGTTTTTCCCTTAGAAACTTTTCAAACTTTGAAGTTATTTTGAAGTTAGTTTTTTATTATCAAACTTTGTTTTGCATTTAGAAACTTTTGAAACTTAGAATGATTGAAGTATTCTTGATGAATATGAATGTTGAATAATTGCATTTGAATTGGCTGGATGAATTGGCTGGCTGAATTGATTTTTGAGATTATTGATTGGTTATTTGCAGGTTTTGGGTATAATGCAGAAACAAATTGCACTGAAAAAAACAATGCACGTTACCGACGACCTAAATTTGTCGGTAAAACCTATCCAGTATCCCTCTGCATTACCGAGAGCTTTTGCCCCTCGTATTATCGACGGCCTCAAGCCGTCGCTAAAAGGATCAAGTTTCGCCTTCAATCACTGATGGCCTTTGTCCCTCGGTAATATCGACGACTTTTCGGCTTTCGATATTACTGAGGGTCTTTGCCTCTCGGTAATACCGAAGGTCAAAAAGTTGTCGGTAATGTTTCCGACACGCATATACCGACGGCTTTTTGACCGTTGCCAAACCGTCGGTAAACACACTTTACCGACGGCTTTGTGTCATTACCGAATGATTTTGATCGTGGGTAAATCCCTTCTTTTTTGTAAATAAATTTAATAAATAATTACCAAAGAATCTAGTCCATAGATATCCTTTGAACTTCTTCCTCACACATGAATCAATATCCTTTGGCCAGCAATCCAATTGATCTAAGTGTTATACCATGGAAGGACAAGGTCATGTGTTTCTAAACACATGGTGAGAGTAACCGATCTTCTATAAATAGATGGCCAAACCAGGAGATGTTGATTTGAGAGGCCACATCCTTTATTTTCTCGTTTGTTCAGGTCTGTCTTCATTTTCCTGTAACTCTTCTTTTCATTCTAATGTAGTCATAGTAAGAACTCCTCCCTTATTTTTTTTTATCGTATTATTTTCTTTACTTTTCTTACCTCAATTTTCCTCTTCAATATCTCCATTATCCAAGCTTTCAACACTTTTATATTCTTTATATATATATATATATATTAATAAAAATACATCGTTGTCCGTATGTATAGTAATTTTTTTTAATAACAAAAAAATAGTAAAATAATAATTATAAAAATAATACTTGTTTTTGCACTAAGCCAATATATATTAAGATTTTGTTCTATTAACCGTTTAAAAATATTTTATTGTGCAAAATGTTGATTAGTATTGATTAAATAAAATAAAATAATTTAATTAAATCACTTATTACAGAAAATTTAATTTTGGTGTGAAATAAAATGAAACTTGTTAAAAAATTAAGATGTAAAACTATATGAGAAGGCTCTAGAATTTATTATTTGGCTTTATAATGTAAAAGTATATTACTGNGGTGATCCTACTCCTCATGATCGACTGTTCATTGAGCCAAGTGGAAAAGGGTAATACCATATCTTCTTCTTAGTCTTGTATTTTGCATTAAATTGTTGGTCTTATTATGGTTGTAGATTCATAATTTCTTACATTCATATTTCAGGTTTCTTCCTTCTAGAGTTGCTACACAAGCCATCACTAGGTCTATTAAGCAACAATTTCTTCAGCCTTGCGCATCATGGGGAGTAATCCCTACGGCGACAAAAAACTGTTCTAGGAGAGATTTAAGGTAAAACATTGTGTTACTTAATCATGTTACATCACCATATTCAAATAGGAATTTCATTTGCTTTATTTTAACATTATCTATTGTAACAGCAAAAGGTGCAGTGGGCAGCTGAGCATGAAGCTCAAATTAAGAAAAACTTTAACATGAAAGCATCTCACCGATTGTGAGAAATGTTTAGAGATGCAAGGATCGTAGGACAATGCCCTTATTGGGTAGGGGAGCACATATGGAATTCATTGCTGGCACATTGGAATTCGCCACAGTACCGCATTAAATGAGCTACCGCCCAAAAAAATAGGGCTTCAAAAAAGGTGGTGTACTACATACTGGAGCATCAATCACTACACATGAACATGCGATTCGTATGGTAAAAATCTGCATTCATTTCTTATCAATAAC